TTTGTTTTGCCTATGAATCACTTGATGTAGATTAGATGGAAAGTGAAGATATCACAAAAGTAGAAACAATGGCTTCCCATCTCAAACTGTACAAGTATGTGATGTTTTGAGTAAGAATAGCTCCAATGGGCTCATATACTTACATGCCCAGAATTTAATTCCTAAATCCACTTGGGAAGGATTAGGGGGTATGTACTATGTGTGTGGACTTTGAGGTTTCAAGTCCCATGACATGCCCATCCTACCTCTCTGTCTGTCTCTGTCCCTCCCTCCCTCCATTCCTCCCTCCTTCCCTTTCTCCCTCCCTCCGTCCTGGTTGTATGTCAAGCTCTCAGAACTTGTTCCAGTACCATGTTTACCTTCCTGCTGCCACGTAGCCCCCATGGTGGTCTTGGTCGCTGACTGACCTCTGAAGCTTTGCATTTCACTTTTGTAAGTTGCCTTGGTCATGGTTTCATCACAACAATGGAAAAATCTAAGACAACATTAGTATTTTTCCAAACAATACATAATGTTGACATTTATTAACTACACTTTAAGGTTTTCAAAGTACTTGGGAAATATAGGTATTCCATAAGAATCAAGAATGTCATTTTTAGCCAGGAGGTGGTGGCACACACCTTTAATCCCAGCACTCTGGAGGCAGAGACAGGCGGATCTTTGTGAGTTCAAGGCCAGCCTGGTCTACAAGAGATAGTTCTAGGACAGGCTCCATAGCTACAGAGAAACCCTGTCTTGAACCCCCCCCCCCAAAAAAAAGAATATCATTCTTTTTTAGGAAAAGCACAACTGATATAGTCTGAAGACTATTAATAGATGACATATCATTTAGATTAGTTGAATTTCCGTCTGCATTCTTTTTTTCATTCTCACTTTGTTCTTGTGTGGTTGCCTGTCCATCTGTTGATGGAGGAAGGTCATTGGCTAATAAAGGCACTGCCCTGGCCCATTTTATTGGTTAGAGGATAGGTGGGAGGAGTAAACAGAACAAAATGCCGGGAGGAAGAGGAAGTGAGCTCAGACTCCACAGCTCTGCTCTCCTCCTGGGAGCAGACCCCTGAGAGAGACACCATGCTCCCGGCTCCTGGGCAGACACACGCCATGAAGCAAGCCGCCAGGTTAGACATGCTGAACCTTTCCCGGTAAGACCGGTGCTCACCGATTATTAGAGATGGGTTGATCGGGATATCAGAATTAGCCAGTAAGGGCTAGGGCAGAAGGGCCAAGCAGTGATTAAATGAATACAGTTTGTGTGTTGTTATTTCGGGCATAAGCTAGCTGAGCGGGCGGCTGGGGTGCTGGGGGAGCGGCCCCGCCGCCCTTATTACTTCATATGGCGCCCCACGTGAGGGACTAAATCCACTTAAAAAACCTGAGAAGGCTTAAAAATAAGGGAGAGAGAGTTTAACACAGATTTTTGCTGTTTGTTGGTGGCGTGCTGTAGAGAGATTTCCTGATTCGGCAACAATAGCAGAAAAAATGCTGTGTCATTTTAAAGCGCGACTTCCTGGGGCTGTGCTGCCATTGCGATCTCTGTCTGGCTCCTACAGGAGACAGAGCTTTTGAATAGAGCATTTGGAGTAAAGTGCTACGATTTGTTTGATGACAACTAGACTCGCTGTGTTCTCGGGTCTGATCTGCTTGTTAGAGGCAAGCATGCGCTTTCTTCTAAGAGAAGCTTCCTGACTCAGCTTTAGCTGCAAAGCCTGCAGCTCATTAAGAGGTCCTGCCACGAAACACTTAAATGGTGTTGACGAAAAGCTGAACACATGCTTTTCGGTTTTCAGCAGCAGCAGGAAAAAACCTGTTGTTTAAAAATGCCGGCTTTCTGGGCCATCCTGCCAGGGCAAACTCTGACTGTTTGAGGCAGGAGGGCCGGCTACCTAGAGAGGACTTGAGTGTTGTCTGTTGTAGCTCACTTGCTGGCAGGGACCTTGAAATGCCATACAGTTGTGGCAGTAAACATGGCTACAGCCTATATATCCGCCATGAGGCTGGAAAGCTAAGGAACGGACTGGATCTAGCTGGCAAAGCCACGCCTTTAGTCCTACTGAGATTGCTTGGTAAATTAAAGATTCATGTGGTCAGAAAAAGAGAGATATACAGTAAAGAGAGATTCAAAGACAAAAAAAAATTTTTAAATGGTTTACAGTGTGTTAAAAATATATGCAGACTAAAAGTTGAAGTTCTTAAAGTAAAAAACAAAAAAAAAAAGGAAGAGAGTTGTTATGTGTGGTAGCACACGCCTTTAATCCCAGTGCCTAGAAGGCAGAGACAAAGAGATCTCTGTGAGTTCAAGGTGTAATAGTGTACACCTTTAATCCTGAATGCCTGGGAGGCAGAGACAGGCGGATCTCTGAGAGTTCAAAGACAGCCTGGTTTACAGAGTTACTTCAGGTCAAAGATACAGAGAACCTGTCTCAAAAAGCAAAGAGTTAAAAGTAAAAATAAACAAAATAGAGGTTAAAACAAAGCTGCACAAAGATGGAAAATACACAGAGAATCTTGATACTGTATGCTATTATGCTCTCTTTGAATTGTTTGAATGCTGAGGAAGAAGCAACAGCTGCTAAAAGATATTTATTGATAAATGCTGCTGAACTAATCCGACATAGATATTTTGATGCCTTAACTTTGAAATTTGGATCTAAGGACATGATGCTTTGGAAAGGAGTTTCTTATTTTGTTTTCACAGAGGATGAGACGCTGTTCATTTCTTCTATTCCGATTTGGTATGATGGACCACGCCCTCCTGAAGGGTTGCAGTGAACATCTTCAGAAAATTGCTTCGCTCAACTGCCAACTGAGATGAAACTAGCACACAGGTTATACCATGAAAGACCTAATTAACGACGCCCCCATTCAGCAGGAAGCAGTTTGGAGAGAAAAAACTGCGCCCATGTTCCCAAATATGGTTTATAAACGTCCTTTTACATTTAAAGGGGGATATGATATAGATACGAATAATTTACATTAGTATAGATTTTGCTTTATAGATTGAGATTTACGGTCAATTTTGTTATATGTATATGTATTTCTGATTTTGATTAAGGTATTGTGATTGTGTAGTTCATTTAAATATGTACTGTATAATTAAGAAATATAGGTTGTTAATGGATAATCATCGATAATAGTAAAGGTTGTAGTCATGTTAGTTAGATTTTCTAGATATATAGAGATATATTTTAGATAGACATTCTTCATGTCTTTCAAAGATTACAGAATAGGACATTTAATGTTTTAATAACTGAGGACTTTTCATGACAATGAGACACTCTGCTCCTGGCAGCACCAATCTACTTCAAGAGGAAGATGGGCATCGAAGAGGCTCGTTATGGAGTTTTGATAGCCATTTGGGCAAGAAACTGCTCTTGCCTGGACTATTGCATAAACTGGACACAGAGAACCCGCAGAGAGAGGACTACTGAACTTGCCTAAGGTGAGATGATCTTTCGGGGTTCCTGATTCATTTTGAAAGAGTCTGCGAGACATTCTGCAGGACACAACAGATAGTGACTGAACTGACTTTGAATTTTCCTGCTTTATGGAAATGTCTGCTGGATACCATGGGCCTGAAGGCTGAAGATGGATGCCCCAACGGTACAAAAGAACTTTGGGTGACTGTCCAGGCAGCGAGATGTCTTTGTCATTTCTAGAGTTTGAAGTTTCTTAGTTCTTGTTTACTTAGGTAATATTATATCTTTCTGGTGTCTTTGATGGAGTTAAGAATAGTTAGTTATAGTTTTCCTTAGTTATGATAAAGATTATTGTAACTTTTACTTGATAACTGTTTTGTTATATGTAATTTTGCTATGTTAAAGCCTTTTTTTGTTTAAACCGAAAAAGGGGAAATGATGGAGGAAGGTCATTGGCTAATAAAGGCACTGCCCTGGCCCATTTTATTGGTTAGAGGATAGGTGGGAGGAGTAAACAGAACAAAATGCCGGGAGGAAGAGGAAGTGAGCTCAGACTCCACAGCTCTGCTCTCCTCCTGGGAGCAGACGCCTGAGAGAGACACCATGCTCCCGGCTCCTGGGCAGACACACGCCATGAAGCAAGCCGCCAGGTTAGACATGCTGAACCTTTCCCGGTAAGACCGGTGCTCACCGATTATTAGAGATGGGTTGATCGGGATATCAGAATTAGCCAGTAAGGGCTAGGGCAGAAGGGCCAAGCAGTGATTAAATGAATACAGTTTGTGTGTTGTTATTTCGGGGCATAAGCTAGCTGAGCGGGCGGCTGGGGTGCTGGGGGAGCGGCCCCGCCGCCCTTATTACTTCAATCTGTCAAGGTTTTTAGTTTGGCAGCTTCTTGATAGATAGCAGGGGTTGTCCTGGAGCTCATATGTAGTCCAGACTGTCCTCTAGATCCTCCTTATTCAGCCTCCCGAGTGCTCGTATTACAGGTGTGTGCTCATGCGCCCAGGCAGTTAGTTACTTTCCTTATAAAAACTCTTTTTATTAAAACAATTTTTACTTAAAAATTTCCACCTCCTCCCTTCCTCCCATTTCTCTACCCCTCACCACCCTCTCCCCCCATCTCCTTTCCCCTCCCTCTCCAGTCCAAAGAGCAGTCAGGAATCCCTGCCCTGTGAGAAGTCCAAGGACTTCCCCCCTCCATCCAGGTCTAGGAATGTGAGCATCCAAACTGCCTAGGCTCCCACAAAGCCAGTACATGCAGTAGGATCAAAACCCAGAGCCAATTTCCTTGGCTTCTCAGTCAGCCCTCCTTGTCCAACACATTCAGAGAGTCTGGTTTGATCACATGCTCTATCAGTCCCAGTCCATCTTGCTTTGGTGAGCTCCCATTTGCTCAGCTCCAACGTCTCACTGGGTGGGTGCACCCATTGAGGTCCTGACTTCCTTGCTCATGTTCTCCCTCCTTCTGCTCCTCATTTGGACCTTGGGAGCTCAGTCCAGTGCTCCTATGTGGGTCTCTGTCTCTAGCTTCATCCTTCGCCAGAGGAAGGTTCTATGGTGATATGCAAGATATTGATCAGTATGGGTATAGGATAGGGCCATTTCAGGCTCCCTCTCCTCAGCTGTCCAAGGATCTAGCTGGGGACATCTCCATGCACACCTGGGGACACCTCTAGAGTCAAGTCTCTTTCCAACCCTATAATGGCTCCCTTATTTAGGATATATACTTCCCTGCTCCTATATCCATCCTTCCTCCATCCCAACTGTCCCTGTTGAAATAGGAGCAGCTGGGCTGTGTCCCGGGCACCTGGCTGCCCACATGGCTAGATCTAGCTTATGCCCCGAAATAATTACACGGAAACTGTATTATTTTAAACACCGCTTGGGCCATTAGTTCCAGCCTTTTCTCGGCTATCTCTCGCACCTGGACTAGCCCATTTCTAATAATCTGTGTAGCCCACAAGCTGGCTTACCAGGAATGATCTTAACCTGCGTCTGCCTGGAGTGGGAGAATCATGGCGACTCCTTGACTCAGTTTCTTTCTCCCAGCCTCCTGTTCTGTTTACTCCACCTACCTATGTTTTAACCTATGAGGGCCAGCCAAGCAGTTTCTTCATCAAGTAACCAATGAAATCAACAGATTGATATATGACACTCCCACATCATGTCCTTTTCCTCCAAGCTCTCCCCATCCCCCCTTCTCACTTTTTTCTCCCCATATCCCCTTACTTCCCCCACTCCCACCCCCAAATTTCCAATTTTTGCCTGGCAATCTTGTCTCCTTCCAATATCCAAGAGGATTACTAAATGTTTTTCTTTGGGTTAACCTTCTTATTTAGCTTCTCTAGGATCACTAATTATAGGCTTAATGTATTTTATTTATGGCTAGAATCCACTTATGTTTGAGTTCATACCATATTCACCTTTTTGGGTCTAGGTTACCTCACTCAGGATAGTGTTTTCTATTTCCATCCATTTGCATGCAAAATTCAAGATGTTATTGTTTTTTACCTCTGAGTAATACTCTAATGAGTACATATTCCACATTTTCTTATCCATTTAGAAAATATTGAGAGCAAACTCACCATATGCAAACTATAGTAAACCTACTATTAGCATACCAGTCTGTGTTAATCATCAGAAATGCTTGCTGATGGCCTACAGTTGTCATTAACAAACATCAAAATAATTTCAAAATACAAGTGGAGCCTACTTGAAGTTATAGGACATGCACATATGTCCACTCTCGGGGATATGTATGGAAATATCATGTTATTGGTATGTATATACATGTGCACATGTGCATGTCTGTGTAAGTAGAGCTTTCCCCATCATTTCTCTGCCACATTGGGACTTGGGCTTGCATTCCATTTTACGCATTCATCCCTATCATACTCTGCAGCATTGAATGCTTCTTTGTCCTGGCTGTTGGGAGCTTCTTCCCTGGTTCAGGTAATTCAAATGCATGGTGCCACAGGGTCAGAGAAAATGTGAAGGGTTTAGGAGGGAGAAAACCTGTGTTTGAACCCTCTCCACAACATTCCCAAAGACTTGCCTTTGGGTTGTAAAACATCTCTTTCCTGTTCTGTCAAATGGGTGCCATTAACCCCGGTTTGTGTGATAGCGCTGCTGTCAGGAGGGAAGGAGCTACCCAAGTGTTTGCACTTCATAGACTGTGGAGCCTTTTGTAAAGCGTGATGCCAGTATTCTTCAAGCTGAACAGGAAATGATGACAGTATCATAATAGCCATCCTCCTTCTGTCTTTCTCCTTCCAGTCGTCAAGCAGTGATAATGAAAGAAACCACAGCAGCATCAATATCCCAGTACGAGGAAGTGTACCAGAAAGCAGCTTAAACCAGAACATTGCTGAACTATACTCCAATATCCCCGAGTTCTCACACGAGGACTATGCACTGTGCCAAGGCCAAGGTCCTTACTCCCACATTAACCAGATCTTGAAGGAGGCCCATTTCTACAGCCTACAGCAGAGAGGACAGTCACCGACGTGATGACCTGGGTGCTCCTCCTCCCTTGTTTATAAAAAGCAATGACATTCCCACAAAGCAGTCTTGGCTTTTGTCTGTATTTTCAGTAAGAGTCAATGGGCATTTGTACTCTTGCTGTTTTGCTCCACCGCTACGATTTCAGAGGGTCATTCGTGACAGTTTGATATGTTTTCTGTCAAGTCTGGTGTCCAATTCATGTTTAAATAGCAGCATGAGGATTTCTCCTGATACTGAATGGCTTGTTTATCCCATTCAAGTTGGGTTCCAAGTCACTCATTTAGGGTCTCCATGTTATATTTTTTTAACACAATTGTGATGACTCGTACAAAGTATCATTGCAAGTGCAGGGATCTAGTGAGGGAACTGGGGAGCTCTCGGCAGCCACAGCGACCTAGCCACTGCTATAAAGTTAAGCGCCCAAACCCTTGACCTTGTCCCACAATGACTGCTTTATGGATCAGTATGAGTGGCTACCACTTTAGACTGATCTTGTAACACCCTGCTCCCCACTTCAAATTCCTCAACCACATTGTTCTTGTACCGGAATATTATCCAGACACAACCCCTGCGCTCCACATTACCCCAGAGGATTTCTAGTCCTCCTGTGAGTGGCAATGCAAAGGTTGTTACCTTCTTGGGAATCTTGACCTGGGTAGGTTAGGCTCCTGTGTGATGTGATCCTGAGACAGATCATCATTTGACTATGCATCAACATCAACACCATACAAATAGTTATTTTTGACTATAATACCTGCTCTCTTTCAAGTAATTTACCTACCATAAATAAATGATCCATAGTTGTTCACATACCCCTCCAAATATGTTGCTATCCTGGAAAAATAAAGATCCATATGTTTTCACAGATCAGATTGTAAAGTACATGTAAGGTCCCTGTGAGTATCACTTACTGAAGAAAAAAAAATGTGTGCATCCTAATAGATATCACACCCCCGCTGCACACCCTGTCTCTTTATCTGATTAATACATAATTGAAGGACACCCTGGCCATTCAGGAAAGGTATAGTTTCATGTAGATGAGGAGGGAAAGAGACAAGAAACTCAACTATGCATGCTGGGGTCGACATGGGCAGGCTCGGGAGTCAGTATGGACTATACTGCAGGAGTGTCTGGGTGCAACTGTCATAGTGCTAGACATTGCTGATCAATATTGTTATCAGCAGATTTGGTGATCACTGGTGAATTTGTGTGGGGACTGACTTCATGAATTTTGTAGTAATGCCACAATAAATATGTATGGCTTGGGTATGTTCATGTTATAGACTGAAAGCTGGGGAGGCCACTTTGCCCTCAAGTTTGCTGTTACTAGTCAAGATCCAGCAGTCGCAAGTTTCTATGTGTTTATTAGTTATCAGCTTATGGTTGGGAGTCTGTACATCCTGTTTTTCTTAGTTGCTAAAAGCCTCTGATGATCCAAGCGAACATCTAGGAGGGCAGAATGTACCCCTCCTTGCTGAAGAGACAAGAGGACCAGCCTTTCAGCTGCCTTTATGCCACACAGGTGGGTGGGGTGGATGTGGCCTTATTCAAATGAGGATGTGGCTCATTGCTCCAGGCTGCTGCCTAGCAACCACTCTGCAGCAGCCAGTGTGTAGCTTTGGAATGATAGAGGAAGCTATTGAAGGCCTGAAAACACATCCCTACCAGCCATTATGGGGTGCCCTGGCAGTTTTGAGGGCAAAGGCATCCTGGCAGGGTAAAACTTGTTCCTGGCCATTTAACCATGAGAGGCAGAGCCTGCTGTGTACTGGGAAACAAGGAGAGAATCTTTGAGATGTGTTACTTGCTTTACTGTTTGTCCTTCCTTCTCACATGCCCTGTGACCTGCAGTCCCTGGACAGTGCACCTGTATCTCTGTCTGATCAGAGGGATGTGTCAGGGTGTACAAGTTATTTTCACTTGCCTGACATTGAACTGATTTGCTCTACTCAAGTCTGTGGCGTCCTGTTCTGCTTGAACCAGACAGCTTGAAATGCCCTGTTCCAAATGTGTAAACATGTTCTCTTCTATGATCACCTGCCTCCTGTTGTTAATGTGGACTGGGATGTCATCATGTGGTTTTGTCTGAGACTTTGAGAGGTGAAGAAAATGTGTAGTGGTCTCCATCCTAATCCAGGGGGCAACTTGTTTGTTCTGCACATTTTGAGTTTTGTAACACATCTTCTCAGTCCCCCGACTGACTAGGTGATGACCCAAATTGTCATTATAGTTCAGTTTGCGTGCTTTCTTTTCAATGATTTCTCCCCTTGGCACAGCAATGGTCATGTTTTTCCTTTTCCACAGTGCATGTCCTGTAGTAGGTGCTGTGTTTTCTTCTGGTCACATTTACCCCTCCCTGATTCCTCACCTACCTGTAGGTCTTCCTGTTATCCCCTCTGCATCCAGCATCAGCACATGCTGCCCTTTAGAATACACAATGGTAAAGTTTCAAAGTCAGTGATAGAGCAGGATGGGGGTCATTGAACCATTCGCTCTAAGATCCACCTCCCTGGAGATTCCAGTGACTCACTTCAACCAACTACAGGATGTGCTGTGACTCTCTTGGCATGCTGGATACAGGACCTTCTGACAAGAGGGCCCAGGCTCAGCTGTCAGCCCCACTGCCCCATACCCTGCAAAAGATCATGCCCTATATAGATAACAACACTGTGTTTTTGGCCAAGGACTCTCAGAGTCATCTAAGTGGTCACTGGAGTCGGCACCAATGATCCTTGCTTCCCCTAGAGGTGGTCTTCTGTGGGGACCCTTTACTTTGCCCTCAGTTATTCGAGTCCTGCTGGAGCCCTCACTTGACCATGACTACTGACTCATCGCCTTTATCTCCTTCATACAATTATATATGTGCACTGGATGACTGAGTGTCTGTGCGTGTGTGTGACTGTGGGCCCTCATGCCTGTGTGGGTGGAGGTCCGAGGTTGGCTCTGGGCGTGTTACTCTATTGCTCTCCATCATGTGTTCTGAGACAGTTTTATTGTAGGATCCTAGAGCTTACCAGTGTGTCTCGATCAGGTAGATAGCCAGCCCCAGAAATCCTGTTCTCTCTGTCTATCAGCCCTAGGATTGTGGGAGTGCCCCACCAAGCTACCTTTTGAGTGAGTGCTCAGGGATCCAACCTCAGAAGTTCTTGCCCTTGCGCCAGACAGTTTACCAGCCCCTTGGCTCCCCAGCCCGAAGCCATAAAGTTTTGATTAATTGCATTCTACCTCACAAAATACTAGCCCTTTCCCGAGTAATGGCGCCCCGAACCACAGTGTGCTCCCCCTTCCTGCCTCACCCTCTCTGGTGGGCAATTTCTAGGATGATCAGATCAGGATGTGTTTCTCACACTCACAAGGTAGCAGGCAGCATCTTCATGAGCACTTTCGAGCATCTTAGGTGTGTGGTGCTTCTGCTGTCAAACCCTCACACATGTTTTAAACGCTGGTGCTAAAAGAGAGACTCCAATTATGCCTTGATTGCAGTTGTCATGGTGATGTGATTGGAATACCTTTCATCAATGCAACATGATTTACCTCTAGGTCTGTGTCGTGCCACCCTCTCCCATCCCTTGTGAAATAGACAGAAATTTTTCCCTACCCCACCATTTTCATTTTCTCTCAAGAGAGGTTGGGGGACATGTTCTCAAATGTCATGACTCAGCTTGAGGCTCTGTGAGGACTCTGGACAGGAGGTGGTGGCAGAGGTGTTTTAAAATCTCATCCTGAAACCACTGTGCCAGAGGAAATCAATAACCTGCGAGAAAAAGGGATTTTTCTGACAGGATGGAGTGTGTGGTTGCCTAGGTTACCTGGAGAGAGAGAAAGAGCCAGGGCAGAGGGAGACTGTCACATGAACAGCCTCATTATACAGGATGCAGCCCTAAAGTCAGAGTGTGGAGGAGTATGCTCAGTATTTCAGTGCCTTCTCAACATTAGCAGCTTCCTGAAGGGGTCTGAGCCTGTTTGTGAGATGCAAAGACAAGAAGGACAAGGACACAGGCTCTGGCCACAAGCTACAGGGACCGTTGGATTTTTAGTGAAGGTGTGCAAATGGGGCAGTCCCTCTCCTTCTGGTGGTAACAAGGAGAAGGGGCTGTGAACTCCTGTGGAACCACCTTCCCATTAGACAGACGCTATTCTTTCTGTGTTGGCCATCCTGTTAATGTTGCATGTGCTGGGTACATTCATAGATGTGGTGAAATGGAACATTGCTTAGAATCCATGGAATTCTCAAGACTGTGTACCGCACATGTCTTATCTATCTATCTATCTATCTATCTATCTATCTATCTATCTATCTATCTATCTATCTATCTATCTATCTATCTTTCTATCTCCTATTGCACAGAACAGAGGGAATTGTGACATGTTGGAGAGACATGTTCTCAAATGTCATGACTCATCTTGAGGCCCTGTGAGGACTCTGGACAGGAGATTGTGGCAGAGGTGTAGTTTTAATTTTTTATTTTATTTTATTTTTTTACGCTCACAACAAAAATCATTTATTTACAAGTTCATTGTAGGTGATGGGAGTAAGAGAGCAAAAGGGCAGCCATGTCTGAACTGCTGGGACCCTTCCCCAACTGGAGCAGAATTCCTTTCTTTCTTTACCTCTCAGCCAGAGCTCCTCCAATTAGCCAAACCACAAGGCAGAGAGAACGTGCTGAGAGCCTTCTCAGTACTCCAGCTGAGCTAAGCCGAGTTCCATCATCATTCCCATCCCTTCCTCAGATAGAACTTTCTGGCCTAGAGGGAAACAGCAAGGAATTGGAAAGCACAAGCTCTGGAAGAGAAACCTCACTGTTTTTTTTTCCAGCAAAAGAATAATAGTGGCAAGGGTCTCAGTCAGAGCCACTGTCTTTAGGAGAAACACCCAGGAACCCAGGAGATTCAGCTCTCCCAATGCTGTATTTCTCCAGTAGGCTGGCCCTTGTTATCCCCTCATCTCTGTTGACAAAGCTGTGAACCAGAAACCAACAAAGAACACATTTTCCTCATCCTGGGTGAACACACATGTATGCACAGATACAAATTCTTCACACTGCTAAGAAAGATCCAATCCCCATATCTTCTAGGAGTGGGGCTAGAAGTAATGGAGCCTTAGGATTTAGGTAGGTCCTGGGCACATGGAAACGTGTGTGTGCATAAACACATATGTCGGAGACAATAGAACCAACCTGGCTCCTTGTGGGCCACACTGCTCAGCTCTGTTGAGCTCTTCAATTGAAATTCCATCAGTCCCTCTCTCTCCTGACAGGCCTGGGTCTGGTTCTCCAACCTGAAATCTATTCGTGTTTCTAGACCCCAACTCTCAATCTGAACTTCCCAGCCTCCAGCTCAGGCTGTCTCCCCAAGTCCCTGTCTCCAGGAACTGCCCAGCATCAGCCTCTGCTGGTCTTGCCTGTTATTGGCAATCCTGCCCAGAGTGGTGGCTCATGGCTCCCTTTGGGCAAGAGGACAGGAATCTTTCTCCCTGCCTGAGAGTCCCAAAGGAGCCCATCAGAAAATGCTGGGTGAATGTGCAAGAGGTGTAGAGAAAGAAAACTACAGCAGTTCATCAGCTCCTCTCCAGAGAGTAAAATCCACACCCTGGCTGGGCTGAGGTGCAGAAGGAGAAGAGGAGAGCTAGAGCAAATGTAGGGCAAGCTAAAGCCTAGTGGTGTTGAGGGAGCTGCGGGCCTCTTTCCACAGCCCGGCTCCCGGCTGCCTGGCTAGCTTATGACCCAAAATAACACACAAACTGTATTCTTTTAAACACTGCCTGGCCCATTATATCTCGGCTCTTCTAGGCTAATTCTCATGTATTAATTTAGCCCATTTCTAATAATCTGTGTACTAGGTGTGCTTACCTGGAAAGATTCAGCATGTCTGACCTGGCGGCTTGCTTAATCGTGTCTGACTCTGAGAGGAGCTGCACGATTTCTGAGCTCACTGCCTCTTCTTCCCAGCATTCTGTTCTGTTTACTCTGCCTATCTAGATTCTGCCCTATCAGATGGGCCAAGGCAGTTTATTAGCCAATGACCTTCCTCCATCATTTCTTCTTTTTCTTTTTAAACAAAAAGGAAAGGCTTTAACTTTAACATAGCAAAATTACATATAACAGAATAGTTATCAAGTAAGAATTACAGTTACAATATTTACATCTACTTTATCTTTTATCATAACTAAGGAAAACTATAACTATGTATATATTCTTTAACTCCATCAAAGACTCCAGAAGGATATAATATTACCTAAGTAAATGAGAAGTAAACAACTTACAAAACTCTAGAAATCCCAGAGACATCTCGCTGCCTGGACAGTCACCCAAAGTTCCTCTGCACCATTGGGGCATCCATCTTCAGCCTACAGGCCCATAGTATCCAGCAGACATTTCCATGAAGCAGGAAATTTCAAAGGCAGTTCAGTCACTATCTGCTGTGTCCTGCAGAATGTCTCTCAGACTCTTTCATGAATCAGGAACGCTGAAAGATCATCTCACCTTTAGGCAAGTTCAGCAGTACTCTCTCTGCAGGTTCTCTGTGTCCAGTTTATGCAATAATCCAGGCAAGAGCAGTTTCTTGCCCAAATGGCTATCAAACTCCATAAGGTGCCTCTTCGATGCCCATCTTCCTTTTGAAGTATATTGGTGCTGCCAGGAGCAGACGTTTCTCATTGTCATGAAAACCCTAAGTTATTAAAAGATTAAATGCCATATTCTACAGTCTTTGAAAGATATGAAGGATGTCTATCTAACTGAAATATATCTCTATATATCTAGAAAATCTAACAGGACTACAAGCCTAACTATTATCAATGATTATCCATTAACAACCTATATTTCCTAATTATACATTACATTTTTAAATGACTACACAATCAAAATACCTTAATCAAGATCAAAAATAGACATACATATAATAAAATTGACCTTAAATTTCTATCAATAAGGGAAAATTTATACAAGTGCAAATTATTTATATCTATACCATATCCCCCTTTAAATGTAAAAGAACATTTATAAACATTTTTTTGGGAATATGGGCGCAGTTATTTCTCTCCAAACTGCTTCCTGCTGAATGGGGGCGCTGTTATTTAGGTTTTTTTTTATGGGATAACCTGTGTGCTAGATTCATCTCAGTCAGCAGTCAAGTGAAGTAATTTTTTAAAGGTGTTCACAGCAACCCTTCAGGAGTGCGTGGTCTGTCATACCATATTGGAATAGAAGAAATCCACAGGGTCTCATCCTCTGTGAAAACAAAAGAAGAAACTCCTTTCCAAAACATCATGTCCTTAGATCCCAATTCCAAAGTCAAGGGATTTTCAAATTATCTATGTTGGATTAGTTCAGCAGCATTTATAATCAAATATCTTTTAGCAGCTGTTGCTCCTTCCTCAGCATTCAAACAATTCAAAGAGAGCATAATAGCATACAGTATCAAGATTCTCTGTGTATTTTCCATCTTTGCGCAGCTTTGTTTTAACCTCTATTTCATTTATTTCTACTTTTATTTTATATTCTCTGTGTATCTTTGTCCTGGAATAACTCTGTAAACCAGGCTGTCCTTGAACTCTCAGAGATCCCTTTGTCTCTGCCTCCCAGGCATTGGGATTAAAGGCGTGTGCTACCACACCTTTAAGTCACAGAGGTCAAACTACCTCTGCCTCCCAAGTGTTGGGATTAAAGGTGTGTACTAACACACCCAACTACTCTCGTTCTTCCTTTTTTTGTTTTTTACTTTAAGAACTTTAACTTTTACCCTGCATATATTTTTAACACACTGTAAATCATTTAAAGTTTTTTTTGTTTTGTTTTTGAATCTCTCTTTACTGTATCTCTCTCTCTCATTCTGACCACATGAGCCTTTAAATTACTGACCAATATGGGTAGGATTAAAGCCGTGGCTTTTTCTGGCTAGATCCAGCCCATTTTTTAGCTTTCCAGCCTCATGGCAGAGGTACTGCTGGAGCCATTTTTATCGCCACAACTCTGTGGTGTTTCAAAGTCTCTGCTAGCAAGCCAGTTGCAGCATTCTTCTCACAGATCACACTCATTTGGACTGACTGCCTGAAAGAGTCAGAGTTTGCCCTGGCAGGACAGACCAGAAAGCCAGCATTTTCAATAAAACAGCACAACTTTTTCCCTGCTATGGCTGAAAACAAACAAGCATGCAGTCAGCTTTAGCAATACCATTTAAGTGTTTCATGGCAGGACCTCTTAATGAGCTGCAGGGTTTTGCAGCTAAAGCTGAGTCAGAAAAAAAAAAGAAAAAAAGCTGAGTCAGGAAGCCTCTCTTAGATGAGAGCACTTGCTTGCCTCTAGCAAGCAGAGCAGACCCGAGAAATTGCTGCTACCAAGAAAACATGCTTTACTCTATTCTTTCCCAATGTTTCTCAGGCTTTCTGTGGACTAAGTTATCCATGTTGGGTGCCATTCTGTTGAGAGGGCTGTGGGCCTCTTTTCACAGCCTGGCTGCTTGGCTAGCTTATGCCCCAAAATAACAGCACACAAACTGTATTCTTTTAAACACTGCCTGGCCCATTATATCTTGCCTCTTCTAGGCTAATTCTCATGTATTAATTTAGCCCATTTCTAATAATCTGTGTAGCACCACTAGGTGCACTTACCGGGAAAGATTCAGCATGTCTGACTTGGCGGCTTGCTTCATCGCATCTGGCTCTGGGAGGAGCTGCATGATTTCTGAGCTCACTTCCTCTTCTTCCCAGCATTCTGTTCTGTTTACTCCGTCTATTTAAATTCTGCCCTATCAGATGGGCAAAGGCAGTTTCTTTATTAGCCAATGACCTTCCTCCATCGTAGTGGTGCCTACGGAAGACTCTGGGGAGCCAGAGGGGTCCTCTCTCAGACCCTGGGAGAAGACTGCACATTGCCAAAGTACTGTGGGCAAGGAGGTAGGGCCAAATGACCCAACTGTACAAACTAAATAGTTCTGCTCGGAGGTCCAGGAGGAAGGATTTCATAAGACAGCAACAAAATCAAAACACTTGAACAGAGCTATGGGGCTGGGCCCAGGCCTCCAGATCCACCCTGTTGTTTGTAGAGGTCAAAGAAGGCTACAGAAGGTAGGGTTTGACAGAGGAGCCAAAGGCTGGCACTGGGAGCTGGGGAAGGCAGGAGGCAAGGGCCAAGGGATCAGGAGAGCTGGAACCCCAGGAGTCTCTTAATAGCGGCATTGATGTCCCCGCCTGTGGCAATCAGGGCCTGTAGGTTAGCTTCACGGTTGACAAAGCCCATGGAATTGAGCTGCTCCAGCTGCTGCCGAAATCTCACTTCTGGTATCGGCACCTGTGAATTTCCACTTCCAGCCAGAAGCTGGATCATCTGCTGCTGGGCACTGGAACCTGCCGTGGGAGGAGGCGTGCCTGGTAGGCCTGGGGAGGGCGTGGGGGCCTCGGCTGCAGACCCAGAGTTGCCTGCCAGGGGTACAGGCATCCGGGATGTCCCAAAGGAGCCAAGGCTTGGTACCAGCCCAGGGGCTTCAGTTTGTAGGATCTGCAGGCCCTGCTGGATCTGAAGCAAGGCCTGAATGGCCCGGGGATTGGTGAGGGTGGAGAGCGACTCTGAGTTCTGCATCTGCTGCAGGAACACAGGGAGCTGCAGGCGTAGCTGCTCCTGAAGCTGTGGATTCCTCGCAAACAGCGGGACATTCACCATTATCTGAGCAGCAAAGTCAGGGTCCTGGGCGAGTGTCTGCATCATGCTGCGCATGTAAGGGGCTGAGATCACATTCTGCATCAGCTGGGGGTTTTCAGAGATCTGCTGGAGGAGCGCCTGCATTTCTGGGCTGTTGAACACGCCTGACCCCAGGCTAGCCGCATTGATCCCAAGGGGGTTCGAGACTGTCGGGTGCACCTGGCTGGTCCCCGATCCTCCGGTGCCCTCCCCACCGGACCCGGAGGCCTGGGAGGTGGGGGGCGAGGGGCTCCAGGGGTTAGGGAGGGGCTCTCGATTCTCAATCCGAAGAGGCTGGGAAGATGTGCTGTTGGAGTTCCCGGCCAGGGAAGAGAAGGGATTGTTGCCAAACTGTTCCCGAGTAGCTGTGAGAATGGGCTCCTGGAAGTCGGTGTACATGCGGCGGAGGGCATTATATCCTCCAGGAACGCTTTCCAAGTTGCTGAGGGCCTGGTCCTGGTTCCGCATCATTTCTTGCATCATGGCTGGGTTCCGAGCAAGCTCCATTGTCTGTCTCATGAGCTCGGGGTTGTTGAGCATGTGGCTGATCTCAGGGTTCCTCTCCATCAGCTGTTGCATCTGGGGGTTAGCCATGATCATGTGGCGCATCAGGTCAGGGTTTGACATCATATCCTGGACCAAGGGGTTCTCCATGATCTGTGTCAGCATCTCAGGGTTGGACATGAGCTGTCTCTGCATCTGTTGCTGTAGCTCCATGAAGTTGGCAGAACCCAGGCCCAGACTGCCTAGGCCAAGGATGCCCCCAAAGCCAGAGAGAATCGATGCAGTGGCACTTGGGGCCCCCTCTGCAGCCACTGGAGAGGGTCCTCCTCCATTGCCAGAATCTGAAGTGGCATTGCCAGAGCCGCAGGGCTGGGCGGGGGCAGCAGGGGAGGCAGGTGTGGTGGAGGGTGCAGAGGCAGAGTCGGGAGTGGATGGGGGAGAAGCAGGAGTGGCCACTGGATCTTGAGCCTTCTGAGGGGTCTTGATGACTAAATGGACCGTGAGCCCATCCTTGATCCCATGCTGATTCAGTGTGTCTCCATCCTTGAGGATCTTGCCTGCGAAGAACAGGACCAGCTGATCCTGCTGAGCCTTAAACCTCCGGGAGATTTCCTCCTTGAACTCCTTGACCGAGGCTCGATCGCAGATCACGATCTCCTCCTTGTTCTTGGGGGTCTTGACGGTGACCCGAATCTGGGACCTCATCTCGGCTCCGCTTGGCTCCGTCATGCTGCCGCCCGGCCGCCTGCCAGCCCGCGAGAGATGTAGTTTTTAAATCTCTTCCTGAAACCACTGTGCCAGAGGAAATCAATAGCCTGCGAGAAAAAGGGATTTTTTTCTGACAGGATGGAGTGTGTGGTTGCCTAGGTTACCTGGAGAGAGAGAAAGAGCCAGGCAGAGGGAGACTGTCACGTGAACAGCCTCATTCTACAGGATGCAGCCCTAAAGCCAGAGAGTAAAGGAGCATGCTCAGTATTTCAGAGCCTTCTCAACATTAGCAGCTTCCTGAAGGGTTCTGAGCCTGTTTTTGAGATGCAAAGACAAGGAGGACAAGGACCCAGGCTCTGGCCACAAGCTACAGGGACCGTTGGATTTTCAGTGAGGGTGTGCAGATGGGGCAGTCCCTCTCCTTCTGGTGGTAACAAGGAGAAGGGGCTGTGAACACCTGTGGGACCCTTTAACCATTAGACAGGTGCTATGATTTCTGTATCAGCCATCCTGTTAATGTTGCATGTTCTGGGTACATTCACACAAGCAGTGAAATGTAACATCACTTAGAACCCATGAAATTCTCAAGACTGCGTACAGCACCTGTCTTGTCTATCTATCTATCTATCTATCTATCTATCTATCTATCTATCTATCTATCTGTCATCTATCTATTTGTAGGGTACAGGACAGAGGGAATTGTGACATTTCACACACCACATATTTACTTGGATAATGTAATTCTAAGTGAGTTTTACTATATATAAATACATATGTGCATATACACATGAACACATATATGCATGTAAATATTGTCTTCAGTGTGCATAGCTGCATTCCATGTAAAATCACTAACAGATGTGCCCTGAGATTTGACCCCAAAAGCCTGAACAATGGATTCCAAACAGAATCCCAGCATGGAGCTTGAGAATTACAATGCCTGCTGAAGGTATGTCCCCAAATCCAGATAAAACAGGAAAAGAGAAATGGGCCGCCATTGCTATAGCTCACTGACTCTGATGGAAGTTAAGACTGGGATGGAGAGGCACCATGTAGGTGCCTGTCAAGGAATGGATCAAGAACATGGTGAATGCCCCTGAGCTGTAGCATTCCATCCTGCCTGATCAGCACCATGGGCCAAATCCCACCTCATTCATATGTCTGAGCTAGTCAAACCTACAGGAGCACACTTCATGTGGCAACCATCACAGTGTACATGGGACCAACTGTGAATATCAAGCTCTGAGAGAAGAGAAGTTGGAACAAGCTTAAAGGGTGTGAAATTTAGTCGGTTGTGTAGGGGAACCCAGACATTCTGCCTTCAGTTTCCATTATGTTTTGTTTTTGTTTTGAGCTACACAATGTAGTTATGGCTGTCCCAGAATTCATAAGTAGACCAGAGTGAAAGAAAATTCAGAAATTTCTCTGCCTCCATGTCTTGTATGCTGGGATTACATGTGAGATTTGCCACGCCCAGCCCTGTCTCCCATTCTCCATGTCTACCTTGTTGGTTGAGAGGAAACAGCCATGAGTAAGACTTATCGATGCATTCTGTAACTACTGTGGTGGTCTGAATGTTCTCATAGACTCATAGAGAGTGGCATTTTTGGAGGTGTGGCATTTTTGAAGTATGTGTGGCCTTGTTGAAGAAGCATTTCACTTGGTGGTGGGCTTTGAGATCGGAGAAGCTCAAGATAGACCTAGTGGCTCACTAATTACCTCTTCCTCACAATAATGGACTAAACCTCTGACATGTAATCCTGCTCAAAGTAACTGTTTTCTTTCGTAATGTTTGCCATGGTCATGGTGTCTCTCCACAGCAATAAAATCCTTTTTCCTAGAGGTAGACCCAGACGGCATCCCTGAAGACACATTCATTGTGCCCTCATGATTCCATGCTTACCTTCTTTCTCAGACCTACCTCTTCCCCAACAAGTCTTTTGTCCTTCTGTCCCTGGAATCCTTCCTCTTTCTCACCTCCCTTTGAACAAAGCTCATTCAGTGCTCCCTGTTTTTACAATGATGAACTCCTTCCTTCACAAACTTGCTGAGAAACCTGCAGAACTCAGGGCATGAGTAAATCCCCCCATGAATACAGCCTTACCTTTGCTGGGTGCCTAAATGGGTTCTTGGCACAGTCCAGGTTCAGGATGCTGTGACTGACCTATTCTGAAGAGCATCCATGCTAGGATCTCTCCACCTTCCCCAGTGCATTCTCAGAGCTCAATGTGGATTTTAAGAAAATACAGGAAGATGTCTACAGCATCCTGAGTGTTTGCTGCACATATGAGGAAGGGTCCATTTTCTTGCCTTTGCATGCACCTGGGCTGGTGAGAGACATACTACGACTGGCCCAGGCTCTAGCACTGTGCTTGAGAGAATGTACCCTGGGTGACATCTGGACAATGAAGTAGAAGAGAATGGAGAAATGACTCCTTGACAAGATGTGAATATTTGTCCAGCAGGTTGCACATTTGTGGTCCAAAGCCTTTCGAACTCATACTGAGCCTGATTTCACAATCATGATTCCTTCAGCATTCCACATGTTCCATTCACAAAGCTCATCCCACTTGTTTTCAGGCTAATTCTGAGGAAGTACAGTGTGGCTTGTGTAACTGTGAAGAAACCCAAAAGGTGCCCAGGAAGTTCTGTGAGCATAGTAAAATGCAGATGGCCTGGCACTTGGCAGCAGCATATACCACTCTTTTGTTGAAGGGGAGAGGCCCACTTGTTTGTCCTGGTTGCCCGACTAGCTTACATCTGAAATAACCACGCAGAAATTTTATTAATTAAAACACTTCTTGGCCCATTATCTCTAGCCTCTTATTGGCTAACTCTCATATCTTGATTTAACTCATTTCTATTAAACTACATATCACCACGAGTTTGTGGCCTACTAGGAAATATTCAGTATGTCTTTCTCTGGTGGCTCCATGGTGGCTCTCTCTCTACCTTTCTTCCCAGCATTCAGTTCTGTCTTTGATGGCTACCTAAGTCCTGCCCTCTAAGGAACAAAACAGTTTCTTTATTCATTACCCAATGAAGGCAACACATGAAAAGAATAAACTCCTACACCATTTCCCCGTTTCTGTTTAACAAAAAGGAATGCTTTAACATAGTAAAATTGCATATGACAACACAGTTATCAAGGAAGAAATACAGTTACCATATTTATATCTACCTCATCTTTTATCATAAAAAGGAAAACTACAATAATAACTATCTGTTCTTTAACTCCATCAAAAACTCCAGAAGGATATAATATTACCTAAGTAAACAGGAAGTGCATTGTAAGCAACTTCCAAACTCTAGAAATGACAGAGTCATCTCACTGCCTGGACAGTCACCCATAGTTCTTCTTTATCGTTGGGGCATCCATCTTCAGCCTAGAAGCCCATAGTATCGAGCAGACTTTTCTATGAAGCAGGAAATTTCAAAGACAGTTCAGTCACTTTCTTTGAAAGAGATTAAGAATGCCTATCCATCTGAAATATATCTATGCACATCTGGAAAATCTAACTAACATGACTACAAACTTGACTAGTATAGATGACTATCTATTAATTAATATTTCTTAATTATATATTTTATATTTTAAATAAACTACACAATCCCAACACCTCAATCAAGAGTAGAAATATACATACAATAAGAGAATCTTACTATATCAATAAACCAAGATCCATATCAATTTGAAGTATATATATCTATATTATATCTCCTTTAAATGTAAAAGAACATTTATATACAATATCTGGGAATATGGGCACAGTTATTTTCCTCCATATTTCTTTCTACTGTATGGGGGGCACCATTAATCAGGTCTTTCATGGTGTGTCTTGTGTGCTAGATTCATCTCAGTCAGCAGTTGTGCGAAGTAATTTTTTGATGGTATTCACGGAAAACCTTTCAGGAAGTCCATGAAACCATATTGGGGTGGAAGCAATCCGCAGGTTTTCATCTTATGTGAAAACAAAAGAAGAACCTCTCTTCCAAAGCACCATATCCTTAGACCCAAATTCTGAATTCAAAATACATTTATAATATACTACCATATAATATAATATATGCTGGTTTAGCTTAGCAGCCCATATAATGAAATATCTTTCTGTACTTAGCTCCTTCAAACTCAAAAAATTCAAAAATAATACAATAACATAATGCAGACTCTTAATTTTCCATTTTTCCATGGCTTATTTTTACTCTGATTAATTTACTCTGTCTCTTTAAAGTCTTTACCCCTTTTCTAAAGCATTAATTTTATGACTTTCTATACTCTTTTTCTTCTCTCTCCCAAGCCTACGTACATTTATTCAACACTGTGACCCATTTCGTGTTTGTTCATGTCTGAATCTGTCCTTTTGTAAATCTGTAATTCTTTTCTGTCCTGGAGTACTTCTTAAAATGCTAAGTGCTTCTTAAAAACTTATATTGTTCCATTAGTAAGGGGAATACGGTACCATCTGTTTGCCTGCCCATTCTAAAAACATAAGCTGTGCTGTTATTATGTTATTATGTTCCTACCCAAGATCTTCACATTCCAGTATGGCAGAGCTGCTTGTGTCTCTGAGCCAAGCACACTGACCAACTTCCAGGCACATTGCTGGTCCATGTTGCCATCAAGCAATCAGCTCACAAACCTCATCCACATTCTCTGTCTCCTGCAAGAGACAGAGTTTGTGCTTGTGACACAGCACAGAAAGCCAATATTGTAAAACTGCCTTTGTTTTCCCGCGTTGACTGCTGAGCCAGGACAATCTCTCTGTGGTTCGCCTCCAGCAAACAGCAAAAAGCTGTGTTAAACTCTATATTTGTGTCTAGAATTCCTTTTCAAGCCTTCTCAGGTTTTACATGGAATTATTTAACCATGTTGAAGGCCTACCTGCCTGGTGGGTATTCCATTGTGCATCATCTAGGTATTTAAGGGTTTTTCTAAGTTTGAATAAATGGCATTTGGCTGATCTCCTTTCAAATGACCGAGGTCTCTTGTTTGTTTGCTCAATCTCCAGACCCTTTCCTGGCTCTCACAGGGTACAGTGATGAGCAAACTGTGCAGAGAGAGTAATGCAGGTGCAGGCGTTACAGCAGAGAACCTGGGATCAGTTCCCAGCACCCACATATTGGCTCACAATCAATCATTAACTCCAATTTTAGGGATCTGACACCCTCTTCTGATGAGGGAGGTGATGTATGCTGTGAATGTGTTGTATTGCCATTTGTTAAA